CAGAGTAATATTCAATCTAAAAATCTGGAGTGGTACACAGTGCTTTATTAGCTGGCTCAAAAATAAGTACAGGAAAGTAAACAATTCTAGAGAAAAACGGTGTGAAGTTGATAACGTTACAAAAATACTAGTATTCTAGAGACAAAAAAAAAAATAATAATCTGTCGATACTGACTATACTGAAAGCATACTCAAAGTAACCAACCTGCTGCACTGAAATCATACCAGCCTACACTCTAATATCATTTATACTGTACTTGACAGAAGAATTTATACAGCAACGTCATTTACAGTACAGGAAGACAAGATCAATATTAAGGAACACATTACTATTTTGATATTCTTCTTTATAACATTACCGATAAACAAACACTTTATAGTTGCACATACGGCATGGATTTTGCTCATTGTTGAAGGTCATACGGTGAAGTAAAATTATAGTTGCTATAATATCTTCGTCATGTTTGCCTCTGGTGGAGGGTTGTCTGATTGGCATTCAAACCACATTTTCTTGTGTTGATATTGTATACTACTCTAGTATTTCAACACCGAATAGGTTGCAAATGTGTTTCATTTCAGGTTGTAGGCTACCTAAATGGCAAATGCCACTATTACATTTGGTGGGATTTTGGTGCAGTTCAACGTCTCATTGCCATAGCTGTGTTGAAACGATTAAATTCAAAATAATGGGCGTGCTGTCTTAAATGTTCTAGATAGACACGGCAAGATTGATTTTTTCACATCACTGTACTCGGCAATGTTTATCATGTTGACTCAGAGCCAGTCATTTGCTTGCTTATATTATTTGGTGATTCATGCTTTAGCGCATAAGAATTGCATCACCGGAGTTGAATTATAATACCGGGAAAGGAGCAAAATAAGTTAATCAGCAAACCTCTTATGTCCGAGTTGTCCTGATTCCCCGTGAAGCAACTCTTACAACAAAACGACGACTGTAGTTCCCGCGTTACATTATTTAATGATTTCAGCATGGAATATACAGACTGCGGATATACTGCTCAGTGTAAATAGATATAGGAAGACGTGGTATGGCAGGGGCGTTTCCAGGATATTTGAAAGAGGGGGCGTAGAATGCAATTTATTTTGGACCTTTTTTTGTCTAAAAAACATAAAATAATTGTGAAATGCACTAATGTAACGGTTCCTGACTTGGAGCATGTATATTTTATAGTTAAAGTGTCAGGGTTTGATATTTTTTATGCCGAATTCTCTCCATTAATTGTCTATGGTATATTAAAATGATTGGATGGATCTTAACAACAGTAGACCAATAACGAGAAATTCCAAATTCTATGGTATAGGGCGTTACTTTACATTTCAATAGTCCTAGGCCAGGATTTTATGAACGGGAGGCGTAATTCCGGTTGCCCTGGTATAGGGTCCATGGGGAAAGTCAGAAGCTCCTGGATTTCAACAATTTAGCATCAAATTATGAAGTATTACAACAGACTCCATGATAGACAAATTGGTGAAAATAGTCTGCCTTCGGATCATTCAAATTATGTATTGATTAACATGTGGATATCAAATCTTAGGAAGAAGTTGTAAATTCAGTTTAAAGGTTATATGAAATGGGCATGAAAAATAAAAAATAAATCTTTAACGATAGCTTTTTCTGAACTTTTGATATATATATATAACTCTATGGTCGGGTTGTTGTCTCTTTGACACATTCCCCATTTCCATTCTCAATTTTAATTTTATATATACCCGTTTTGTTAAAATATACCTTTTCACTGTTTGATCTTTTGGAAAATGTTGTTTGTGCTGTATTTAGACCCCTTTACCAAGAAATTTGTTTTTCATGCACACGTATAAAAATTGCGGTTTTTATTCAACACAATCATAGGTTTGAACGTTGTTTTCAATTTAGTAGATATAAAAAGATGTGGTATGAGTGCCAATGAGACAACTCTCCATCCAAGTCACAATTTATAAAAGTAAACCATTATAGGTCAAAGTACGATCTTCAACACGGAGCCTTGGCTCACACCGAACAGCAAGCTATAACAGGCCCCCAAAACTACTAGTGTAAAACCATTCAAACGAAAAACCAACGGTTTAATCTATATAAGAAACGAGAAACACTTATGAACCACATCAACAAACGACAACTACTGAACATCAGATTCCTGACTTAGGACAGGTGCAAACAGTTGCAGCGGGTTTAAACGTTTTAATGGTACCAAACATTCACTCTTATCGGAAACAATAGTGTAACATTGTATTTATAATACCCCGTTCTAGATAGTCAAATCTGACCCCTTCCAATGCAAGGCGAAAAAAACATAACCCCAATTCAGACAATTTAGCTGAAAATGCAAACCCGTTTGTCGGAACATACCCGGTATCATATATATAGCGAGTATTCCCCGGGTAGATGTAGAATGGCCATTGGGGAAGTGTCACACAAAACAACCATTTCATGTATAGATTTACTGACCGCTTTGGTTGATTAAAAAAGGTGTCCAAGTCACCCATCGGATGGGGGAATCAGTATAAAAAGAAATCAGAGAGTGTGTTTAATTGATGAATATGATAAATTGCCATATTCAATACAATATAAGCAGATTTTTATTCTTTTTTTCTTTTAAAAAGGGGGGGGGGCGTACGCCTATTACGCCCTTACCTGGACCCGCCCCTGGTATGGGTGCCAATGAGACAACTCTCCATCCAAGTTACAATTTATAAAAGTAAACCAGTAAAACCCAGATAAAACGAAATACTGTAAAAGTCTAGCCTGAGAGAGCATGAATTATTTATTAGTCGTTATTGGCTTTGAACACATAATACAATGTTTCTGCTTTCAGTAAGAGCGACTCGCATTTACCGTAATCGAGTGTGCCCACAAAACTTTCTGGCAATTCATAATTAAGCTGCCTTTATGTTAATCGACTCGTCCTTAGGCCACTTCATGATTATTTCAACCATATTGAATAGGGGCAGATTTTTATAGGTAAAAGGTGGAAATAGTTTGAAAGTACGGGAAATCATATCCATGTTTCCAAGCAACTGTTCAGTTTTAATGATGTTTTCCCGTATTTTTCAAACCATTTTTACCTCCATTATGAAAATCTGCCCCTATTCAGTCAACATGGCTGCAATAAGGGGACGACCATTTGATATTCTGGGGGGGGGGGGGGGGGGGGGGGGGGGGGGTGGGCAGGATGATTTTGAAAATAAATAACTCAGCCTTGATAATAACAAAAATGAATGGTTTGTTCTGTGGTAGTTTGAAAATAAATAACCTGACTTACAATGTATTGAAAATAACTTGGCAGGTCTTTTAAGCCATTTTATAAATGCTATTCTGAAGTATGAGATGGCACCAGATTCTTCCAAAATTCGTCTTTTTTCAGATTTTTTTCGGGAAAAACTTCCCAAATCTTTTAATAATTTAAATATTAATGTATTTGAAATGTTTGAAAATGGGTTTCATTTCACTTGAGGTATATTGTCTCGTGAACATTTACCTCACCTTTATTACAGGGCCGTAACTACATTGAGGCAAATGCCTCATGTTGGAAATTTCAAAAACAAAAGCTTGCATGTCTTCATATCAAATTGTTTTCACGGCAAGTGTCTTGCAAGAAGCAAGTTCTGTTCACCCTCTGACGTACTAAGCCCCTGTTTTTTGAGATCCATGTTTCTCATTTATTTTTATTTTTCAGTGTTGATTGTCTATAATGTTTGTCGTTTTGCGTTTAGCTGTTCCCGGGTTTGTCTTTTGTTCATTGATTGCCCTTCTTTATGACTATTCTCTTAGTGTTGCATTCTATTTGTAATTTAGTAATATGTTTTAAACTTGAGTTTTATTATATTTAAGGACCTTTTGTCTATTACAAACTACTTTAAATTGTATCCCAGTTAGGAACTACATCAAGTTGTAATTGAAATGAGTTATAAAAACTTGACTTGACATAGTTATATCAATGATAATCATCCCCCTCTTAACTTAATTTGAAAAAAAAAAAACATAATTAACAGGTATAAAAGGTTTTTCTGCAAACTGAAACATGTTTTGTTTTGTCCTACATATTGGTCTTTTGATGTTGTCCCTAAAAACTTAAAGTCTTACACTGAATCTATATATTTTGCTTTGAGACCAGAATATTGTCAAAAAATTAAAACAGAACTTGCGTTTCAGATTAAGAAAGGGTCTGGGAAACGCGCATAATGCATGATTTTGCGCCATTTTTTCTATAGCTTCTTGGGGCCTTCAGCGAACCCCAGACTCTTCGCTGATTTTTTTTTTGACAACTTTTAAAAGAGGCTAGTTACAGCCCAGCTTTAATACCTTGTACGTATGCAATATATGCAGTTTGCAATTCAGAAGATTAACTTCCAGAGGATGATGATTAATTCTGATTCACTTAATTGACTATGTTATTTATTTAAGAATTTAAAAATTGTATGTTTTCAAATATTATAAATATAATTGTGAAAATAGATAATCAGTCCCTTGTTTTAATGAAAATGAAAAATCATGCTTCAACAGTGCAGAAAATAAATAATCTGTCCTTTTGGTCCACAAAAATAAATAACCCATCCAAAACAAATCCTCCTGCAACCCCCCCCCCCCCCCCCCCCCCCCCCCCCGGCAGAATATCAAATGGTCGCCCCCTAACCGTGAAGGGGCAGTGATTCTTGATACTGGACGTAAGAAACAACTACAAGTTACTCCTTGTAGTCAATAGCTTGATTGAATTCTGTATATTTGGTTGCCAGTCACCAGATCTTGGGTCATCTGAGTTTATAGTACGTCAGTGCTTTGATTAAGTTTAGGCCAAACATGAAACTTCCCCGAACTTTTTATACTTCAATAAGAATTTTCTCCCCTTTAAATGTCTGGTAACAATCAATTACACTGACCTCTGACATTTATTGATTTACATTACGACGATACATGTCATATAACTTTTCCAATGGGTTTACGTCACTACAGCGAATTTCTAAATATATACACATGACGATGTCAAGGTCGAATATGTCAATTTTTCCGAAAGCCGTATAACCTCATGCTTGTTTTACTTTATGTAGCCGGTAAGTATGAAAATGTCTTGCACACTTTATATTGTAGGCCTAATACCATATGCTTTTGAAAATGCAAAAAGGAAATGAGGCCCTTCATGGGGGTGTCCAAGTAATCACATAATCACATTTTTTTTGCCAATATGATCACATAATCATGAATTATTTTTTTAAACAACATAATCAAAAAATAAAAAATACAGTCCTAGATTAATCAAATAATCATGAAATATTTGGTCTGATAATCAAACAATCACTATAAAAACGGCCAAGTAATCACATAATCAAAAACCCCATGAGGATAAGACATGTAAGATAAGATAAGATAATTTTATTGGTTCAAAATCCAAAATTATAGGATTGTTACCAAGACAATAAACATTGACCATACATAAACATACAAACATAATCTGACCACATTTATAAACATTATATATATAACTGTATATCTCCTCCATTATTAAAAGAAAATATTGTTACAATAATAAATGAATGTATATTATAATCTCTGCTGAGGAGGTGGTACCACAAAGTTATTAAGTACTCAATAAAGCATGCATGAGGAGGCTCGGAAATAGTATGTTTTGAAATCATTGACACTGTCTGGAACACAGACACTTCTCTGGAAGTGTCCACAAGACATCAAAGCGTAGGCCTATACATCGTTAGTACATTCTTGAGTACTGCAGTATTGGATCCATATAAAAACATCACACTGACTCCCTAGAAATGGTCTAAAGAAGAGCTGCCAGATTTGCGACATCAACATACAATCGAGAACCAGAGACAGTTACCAATATCATGAAAACCCTAGAATGGAAGACACTAGAATCTAGACAGAAATGCAGTAGATTGAGCATGTTCTACAAAGCCACACAAGGAAAGCCGGCAGTCAACATACCACCATACGTGAGAAGACTATCTACATCAACAAGACAATACTATCCAGAAAAATTAACTCATATCAGTACTTCCACAGATGCCTACAAATACAGCTATGCCACGCACCATCACCGACTGGAACAGCCTGCCTCTCGAATCTTTCCAAACTACATCCCTGGAATGCTTCAAGGAGCAACTTCGGAGACTGCAGCTGTAAACAGAAACCACATGTTTTTATCCAATTTTAATTGCACTTGTAAATACTGAGCACGCAGGTTGACGTTTGCACAGTAGCATCTGCGTTAAGGATTTCCACTGCAGATCAATTAGTATAGATGTAGATGTTCTTGACTATCATGACCAATGTATCCCATAGTATAAATAGGAGTATTCGACCTTTCCATTGACAGAAACACTCAGTGCAACAAATAACATGCACGAATCTCAGTTAAAAATTGAAACTGAAGAAAATGTCATTAAACCTCATTAGGTCTATCTCAGTTACCACAAATGGTGGATTATATATATGTGAATTTAAGGTATCCGATAATCCTACAATACATCTAACATGTCTAATACATAGAGTTGTTAACTAATGCTATAGGGAAAATAGTGGGAGATGATAAACCTACTCAAATTCCTGTCCTGAATCTTACTTGCATTCTTATTCTTCCTCTTTCCTCAGTAAGCGGCCACCATCAGATGAGCTGGTTGACTATCCTGCCACATTTTTTGCAGTAGGTTGAGTAACAGGTCATTGATGAGCGTCTTTCGGGAAGGTAATGTGTGCACGGTCAAGCTACATTTACAGATACACATGTATTTTTGGTGCTGAATGTTATGAAAATCATATAGAAAATATTGAAAAGAATAATTGTAGCGTGTCATTTGTTTACTTAGGTCCATATAAAAATAATATTTTGCAAATATTGCTTAAATGTATGCAGTAATTGAACAGAGGTGGATTAGGCAGGAAAGTGACTTTTAACATGAATTACTGTGGATTCATTTATTTCCGTGGGTACTAATTTTCATGGATTGAGGAAAACTTACATATTCGTGGATATTTAATTTCGTGGTTTTTCCCAAGTCGGCATATAAGTCTATAGAAAATTTGTAATTCGTTGGAACATTTAAATTCGTGGTTCACCTGTTCCCACGAATTTAATGAAAATCTGTATCCAACGAATAAAAATGAATCCATAGTATTGACCCAATGCAAAATCTACAGTAGTGATGAATAAGATTGTGAAGCAAGATATAAATTCCCTGTGTAAGAAAGTGTATAGTGTTTTTATACGCCAGTTTACGGAACATATTATGTTATACCATTGTCTGTCCGTCTGTCCCTCCGCCTGTCTGTCTTCAACATGTAGGACAATAACTCAAAGGCTTTAACCAGTTTTAATGAAACTTTGGTGAATTATTTATATCTATTGACGTAAGCTCCCTTTCAATTTTTATAAATTTTAGATTTTACGTTTCAAAGTTGTGGGATTTTATTCATAAAAAAGGGGGGATTTTCCAGTTTTTAGACTAACTCAAATCATGAAACGTTAGTGACTGGTTTATATCTATTATAATAAGCTCCCTTTAGTTTTTAATAATATTCTGATATGATTGAGAAGATATGGAACTTTATATGTTGAAAAAGCGACAGGTGTATCATGCACTCATCATGCAGTGTGTGAAACCTCCACTCGCCAAAGGCAAGTAAGAAATGTATATGGCGAGCACTGATACTTCAGGACTCGCCAATGGACCATATCTAATGTTAGAGTACTATGTTAAACCATATTTCTGTACAAAGGGAGATAACTCATTTTTTAAAAGACATTCTTTGTTAAATTATTTGAAGAATTTTTTGGCAGGTTTGTTTGTTATTTAGTATAAACTATTTTCTGAATGCTATATATATAAAAAAAAAAATATGAAGAGAAATCCTTTAATTAGATAATAATCTATTTTTAGCTCACCTGGCCCACAGGGCCAAGTGAGCTTTTCTCATCACTTGGCGTCCAGCGTCGTCGTTGTCCGTCGTCATCCGTCGTCGTTAACTTTTACAAAAATCTTCTCCTCTGAAACTACTGGGCCAAATTAAACCAAACTTGGCCACAATCATCATTGGGGTATCTAGTTTAAAAAATGTGTCCGGTGACCCGGCCAACCAACCAAGATGGCCGCCATGGTTAAAAATAGAACATAGGAGTAAAATGTAGATTTTGGCTTATATCTCTGAAACCAAAGCATTTACAGGGGTAAAATTGTTTATTAGGTCAAGATTTATCTGCCCTGAAATTTTCAGATGAATCGGACAACTGGTTGTTGGGTTGCTGCCCCTGAATTGGTAATTTTAAGGAAATTGACGTTGGCGTTGTCGTTGTTGTCGTCAGAAGACACATTGGTTTTCACTCTAACTTTAGTTTAAGTGAATGGATCTCTATGAAATTTTACCATAAGGTTCAATACCACAAAAAGAAGGTTGGCATTGATTTTGGGGGTTATGGTACCAACAATAAGCATTTTTGTAACTTCCAGACATAACTTGTGTTTTAGTGTATGGATCTCTCTGACATTGTACCACAAGGTTCCATATCACAAAGGGAATGCTTGGATCGATTTTGGGGGTAATTGCCTCAAAATTTTAGGAATTAGGGGCTAAAAAAGGGGCAAAAACAAGCATTTTTCTAGTTTCATGACAATAACTTGTGTGTAAGTCTATGGATCTTTCTGAAATTGTACTACAATGTTCCATATCACAAAGGGAAAGCTGGAATTGAGTTTGGGGGTAATTGCCCAAAACGTTTAGGAATAAGGGGCCAAAAAGGGGCCAAAAATAAGCATTTTTCTAGTTTCCAGACAATAACTTGTGTTCAAGTGTATGGATCTCTCTGAAATTGTACTGCAAGGTTTCATATCACAAAGGGAATGTTTGGATTGATTTTGGAGGTAATTGCCTTAAAATTAAAAAAAATAGGGGCCAAAAAAGGGGCAAAAAACAAGCATTTTTCTAGTTTTGTGACAATAACTTGTGTGTAAGTCTATGGATCTTTCTGAAATTGTACTACAAGGTTCCATACCACAAAAGGAAGGTTGGGATTGATTTTGGGGGTGATGGTACCAACAGTTAAGGAATTAGGGGCCAAAAAGGGGCCAAAAATAAGCATTTTTGTAACTTCCAGACATAACTTGTGTGTTAGTGTATGGATCTCTCTGACATTGTACCACAAGGTTCCATATCACAAAGGGAATGCTTGGATTGATTTTGGGGGTAATTGCCTCAAAATTTTAGGAATTAGGGGCTAAAAAAGGGGCAAAAACAAGCATTTTTCTAGTTTCATGGCAATAACTTGTGTGTAAGTCTATGGATCTTTCTGAAATTGTACTACAAGGTTCCATATCACAAAGGGAAAGCTGGAATTGAGTTTGGGGGTAATTGCCCAAAATGTTTAGGAATAAGGGGCCAAAAAGGGGCCAAAAATAAGCATTTTTCTAGTTTCCAGACAATAACGTGTGTTCAAGTGTATGGATCTCTTTGAAATTGTACTGCAAGGTTCCATATCACAAAGGAAATGTTTGGATTGATTTTGGGGGTAATTGCCTCAAAATTTTAGGAATTAGGGGCCAAAAAAGGGGCAAAAAACAAGCATTTTTCTAGTTTCGTGACAATAACTTGTGTGTAAGTGAATGGATCTTTCTGAAATTGTACTACAAGGTTCCATAGCACAAAGGGAAAGCCGGAATTGAGTTTGTGGGTAATTGCCCAAAAGTTTAAGAATAAGGGGCCAAAAATGGGCCAAAAATAAGCATTTTTCTAGTTTCCAGACAATAACTTGTGTTCAAGTGAATGGATCTCTCTGAAATTATACTGCAAGGTACCATACCACAAAGGGAAAGCTGGGTTTGAGTTTGGGGGTAATTGCCCTAAATGTTATGGAATATGGGGCCAAAAAGGGGCCAAAAAACAAGCATTTTTCTAGTTTCCAGACAATAACTTGTGTTCAAGTGTATGGATCTCTATGAAATTGTACTGCAAGGTACCATACCACAAAGGGAAGGCTGGGATTAAGTTTGGGGGTGATGAATCATAAGGGGTTTTTTGGGGGGGGGGATTTTTTTTCCCTTTTTTT